CGGTGAAGGAAAACATCAACAAACAACAGGAAACCGGGCATGCCTTAGACCCAAAAAGTCGACGTCTCGTGTCAGGCACAGAAGGTTGATCACCTACTTGCCTATTAGAAATGTTCACGGAACAGATACAGAAATCTGGGACCCGGACCAAAAAGGTTGTAGCGCTATTTGTAAAAGTATTTGTTTTATGTGCTATTTACAAAAATCAAAGTACCTTGGCAAGTCTATATCCCAATCTAGATAATAAAGCACAGACTTAAGTCATCCATAGACCATAACCTACACAAACGTCTGTTGCCACTGTACGTTAAAGGAAATTCCCTTTCAAACGATCAAGTGAAATTGAATCGTAACATAAGGTGATAAAATACAATTTCGATTACATTGAAAAATCATAATCATAAATATTCACGTAAGTGTTAAATAAACAACGACTCGATGGTTAAAATAGAAATGTTATTTAAAGAATAACCAGTATTTTCTATTATTATTTATTTATAAGTAATCTTACAGTTACACATATTAAAAAAGAAAACAATTTGACAATATACAAACCCAAATAGATTGAATTGTTAAGCCAAATATACGAAATAGATAACATAAGTCAATTAAATACATTATTAGATAAGTAAACTGAAATTAAACTGCAACTTAATATTTTAAAGAAAAAAAGACATTTTTACTATTGCTAAATAAAGTCCAAAGTTTTCCCGCCTCCTAAAATATTTCCATGGTAAGGTGGAAAATGACTACATTTTCATAAATTGTATTGTAGTTAGCTAAAAACCGATACATAGGCGAATTACGCAGTTAATAGTGTTAGTACGAGGAGGGATTCTTAAAGAAATTAATGACAGCAACAGTCCTAAGGTAAAGTCCTAGCAAGACCATAGTAAGCAGACATCACCTTCAAGAAGATCTTTGTGGCATAATTGTACACAGCAAAAAACTATCCCTATCATTTAATTGAAAACATTATTTTATAATTATAAACCAATCACTTGCGTCACCAACATAAGAAATAGTAAAGGTTTATTGTGATAAAGAATAGTTTACGAGGCTTTATACGTACGTACGTTGATCATTTATCTTCTAAATCATTATTCCTATAACGTAAGGATTTCTCGCGATAGTATTGATATTCGACATCGGTACGGTATTATTAGTGATTCTAGATGCGTTACTTAAATTGTTTCGTTGTCCGTCTACGACAGGATGAGACAATTACCTTTTTCCTGAATCGGATCATCGTTTGATACATTAAAACCATGTTTGTCATCATAATTAAATAATAAAAAAAATAACAAATCAAATCAATATTTTTTATATTAATTTTAATTCAATTGAAGAGCTAAAGCACAATTTACTATTTCAGTTTCAATATAACGACGAGTCGGCATTCGTAACAATAGATAGGAACAAACCCCATCCTATCGATTTTCTCTGCTTACTAGACATTTGATAAAAAAATCGATATATGCAACACCTCTCTCACCGAAATCAATCAAAAGTATTTTTATTGCCTTGAAGTGGCGTCGGCAACCCACAAAACTAGGTACATATAATGTTTCATGTGAATGTGCACCGGCTATTTTAAAATCTACTAAAATATTGGCATGCAAATCAAGATGTTTATTGTGTCCTTCATTATATAAAGTTGAGATCGTGTAACGTGCAAATGACGGCATCTTAAGTGCATCATAATTGCGCATCATATAACAATACACCTCCGTTTCCTTGTTAAATATGCTATGGTCATTTACTAAAGTACACCACATCATAATGCATTTTCTTTAGTAAAAATTACAATCTATGTATTCTAAAACACATGACAATTATGAACATAAATTTTACAATTTTTTTAGAAATAATTGTTTGATGATTAGGTAACTGATAGGTGATTAACAACGCTTTTTTTAAATTTATATTGTAATAAGCTATTGTCAGACGAATTTAAGTCTAACCTAATTTACTTTAATGAACATAAGAATATCCACTTAGGGAAAGATTTACATTAACATAGTGCCAACTATGACTCCCGTATGACAAAATTCAATCAAGAACCAAGTCATAGCTCTAAGCAATAGGGTAAATGTTGTTTCTAATCTTGCCTTAAGTCTTTATTACGGCAAAACACAAAATTGTTGTTTTATTAAACCACGGGAATAAAAAGCGTTTATTTGTAGACACTGTACAAATTTTTTAAATTAAAAAGAACTTCAATAGACTTAGAATTTTGAATTCCAATTATAACCCTTTGAGTTCGTTCAAGTGGTCTTTACAATGTGTTTTGATTTAAATGTTAAGAAAATATATGTATGTGATGCGCATTAAGAAACAACACACGTAGAACCCTCCAGGAGTAAGGCACTCAAGCATAAAGCTTGTACTTTGGACTAAACGAAGTATTATAACAAACATACTAGTTTCATCAAGACTAATGCCTCTGTAAACTATGCTCGCTTTAAAACAATGAAGAAAAATCTATTCAAATATTTAACGGTAAATAATAATAGATACTAATCTACAAAACTACTAAACGAATTCATTCAGGTAGTTTAAGAATGCATAGCTATTTTTTTCTTGTCTAATTCCTCCTGTTCCAAAAGATACGATACAATGGAACATTTATAGATAGAATTAATAGAAATGTCCAATTTCTACTAGTTTTGCCAAAGATTAGTCATTAGTTCGTTGATTTTCTAACCGGTTCTTATCCGTCAATGTTTTATCAATAAATTAAAATTACCGATACAAAAACAAAAACTTTAAATATACTTAAGGTGAATAAATACCTTTTAAATAGTTTGTAATGCATCCTCAATAACACATCACTACACCCACTTAAAATAAAACACAATTCACAATTTTAAATTTTTAAAGCACACACGACACGACCGCCCGCTAAACTCGTTAGATGACTTCTGAATCAACCTTGCCGAGTTGCGTGGGAAAGAGATGGAAAAAACAGGTATGCGCGGACGCATCAGGTGGGATCCGACAGGTAAAACATACCCCTAGGGTTTTTACGGTTAATTTTATCTTGTTATGCCTTTGTTCGGGAATTATTAATCATTATTCCATGCTACTTCCGTTTCTAGGAATACTGAGAAATAGTGTAAATTTAAATGTATTTCTACGTGTCTTCCGCTGATTTAATTTTGATTTGTTTTTATTTATGTAAAATATAATATTTTTAATATCTCATATATAAGGTTTTTTATTTAGAAAAAATACTTCTCCATAGCTGATGTGACTGCATTACTAACAAAGTCAGGGTAGATAGTTAAACTGTTAATAGTATTCAAGTTCGTACCTAAACTTAAATATATAAAAAACTATTTAACTTGTTGACAGATGGAATACATTATTTTTATATTACGTTAAATAAAAAAACTGTGATAGCTATCCTAATATTTAACCCAATTTGGAATAATATCATTGAGTATTTAACTGATTAAAATTGTATGTGATTTATCTAGTGACAAATCAGTTTTCCGTCATAAAGTTGGATAAATATACGCCAACAAGTATCGTATGGGCACGTATCAGACTACACCACAAGACAACACATAGTTACTAGAATAAAATATGAAATAATATATATATAAACATTATAAATGGGCAAATGTGACAGATTACATTCACAGATATTTCTTCTTTATAGGCATGTAAGCAGAAGCTTACTGGGCATTCCAAAAGATATCATCTCAAGTCATACTAAAGATAATCTCAGAGGCGTTCATTAAGTTAAACGTTTACTAAATAATTAAGTTCACCATAAATTTTTTAAAAATGTAAAGAATCACAAAAAGTATAGATGCCTTATGCCCTAACAGAAGTGGCATATAGCTAGATGCACAGATAAACTTACTTTAAAGACAACGATATTTAAGGAGAAGATGAGAGAAGAGCCCCCTTAAAAAAAGGTGGATAGAAGAAAGAAACTATAGAACTAATACTATAAAACTATAGAACTATAGAAGCGTTAGCAGGAAGCGAATAGAGAGCAAGATATTTGGAAAAAGCTGGAGGCTTTTAACTGAGACGGGGTTTCGATCAATAATGCTGAAGGAAGTTACGATATTAATATAACAAGAAAAAATTTATATAAGAACTAAACTGTAATCTAACACTTGTAATGATTGGAAAAAAACAGGCTTTATTATTATTATATCATAGATCAATCTGAAACTTATTAATCTTCTATAAGACAATCTCGATGGACGTCTCGGCTATTAATAAAATATAAATTGGACTAGAAATTACCGAATTCAAAACCGAGTCAAACAAAAGAGCACGTCATAAATATGGCCGTAGTCTAACAGCTGAATAACTGTATTTTTCTTTAGAGTGACGCAGATGTTACAATAATTTTATATAGCACGCGTATTATGTACTGCTAGTATGGAATATCATAAAACAAGTGTCTCAAGGCGTGCCTTTTATTTTTGAATTTCGAATGTTACATTTTAAATCTTGTATTTTTCTAGTACAGTGAAATCGATCGTCCGCTTATAACTTAGTGGTATTTTCGTGAAACTCATTGTATGTGGGAATTGCATATAACATTTTTGTATATCATAGTTGCATACCAAAATAAAGAGTGTTGTAGGACCGGAGTGATTAGAAGTGCCTGGGTTCAGACATGAAACCATTGCCTTCCAATCAAAACCATCCGTATCACCTCGACGTCCGTCGTTCCACAACTGAGCGTTTTCTAAGGCAGTTATTGCCGCGCACCACCACTATATGGAACCAGCTGCCCACTGAAGTATTTCCGGACCAATTCGACTTAGGGTCCTTCAAGAAAAGAGCGTACCAATTCTTGCCGGCAACGCACTTGCAAGCCTTCTGGCAGTGTGTGTCCATGGGCGGCGGTATCACTTAACATCAAATGAGCCTCCTGCCCGTTTCTCTCCTATTACATAAAAGAAAAATCAAACCTGATTACTACGCTTAAACACACACATGGGAGATATAGTAACAAAAATGATAACTCACCGATTTTCACCAGGCGTCAACTTATCCTGTCCAGTCGTCCTATTCACTGATTCACCCAAAAGTTTTTCACATCTGCCGTTACTCAAATGCTCTCTGGCCACATTCAACGCGTCACTTAACACTACACTATCACATTTATCACTTAAATCCTTCTCATTCTCCTCTTTCTCCTGGATCCCGTTGGCTATGACCGGCGCTGGTTTCGCTTGGAGCGCTTTTGGCTGTGATTTTGGTGATGATATTACTGGTTTACTTTCTATAGCCCCGTTTTCGTTAATAGAAGTTACGTACACTGTGGAGTTGGCTATGTACCCGTTCAGTTCTTTGCTCTCGGATTGCGAACGCTTTTTTCTGTTTAACTGAAAATAATATACAATTATTAGGACACATTTCATTCATTTAACTAACAGTGGTGTTTATTATTGTATAAATACTAGCGGATCCGAAAGACTTTGTCCTGTACACACGTCTTACATTCAAAAAAATTTAATAATGTAAGTAATTCTCGACTCCCACAAAAAAAATATCAAAATCTGTCCAGCCGTTTAGGAGTTTAATAACAAACATATGCACAGATTTATTTATATATATAGCTGTTTATTTGCAGTATAGATAAATAACCTAGATACCGACTGCAGCGCCATCTTCCGGGCTAATTTGGGAATCTAAACCAGGGGCGCCACCCAAACGCATACAAAATTCAGGAGGGATTCTCCAGCCGTTTAAGAGGACACATGACATACACACATGACATACACACGTACAGTAGAATAATATATATATAAACATATTCCTTCATTATTTCCTATTAAATTATTACATATTCATTTCCGTTATCACGACTTGTTGCAGCTCATGATGATTGGCAAAATTCAAGGCAAGAGACGAAGAAGTAGGAGGAAGAAGTAGTGGTTGCGGAACGTACGGGAGTGGATCGGCATCACATCCGCCGAGAAACTTTTTTAGACTAGCGCAAGATACCCGGCAATTCAACTTATTAACACCCAACCTTTAGCAATAAAGTGGCACCTGAAGAAGAAGAAGATATAAGAATATATTGTAGAAAGAGACTTTTAACATATGATTTATTTTTTGTGATTACACCTATTCCATATACCTGATTTTATTGAATTAAAACGTGATTAATTATTAATTTAACAATAATATATAGTATATATAACGAATTATATACAATAGACCATCAGAATGACGGAACTAATATTACTCTAGTGTTACGTAAATCCTGTAGCTTTCACCGGCCATTGGAGTATTGCAATTTTATGCATTATACATTATACCTTTATATACTGGGATGAGTTTTAGTATGTATTTAAATTACAGAGAATTTTCTATTATTTCTAATAAAATTACAAATATATACTTAATGTGCTTTTTTCCTAATTATTTTTTTACAATCATTTGAAATAATTATTCGCAAATTACACGTTCTTTGTCGTGCATGGGAACCGTGCAATATGACAAGTATAATAAGCTAAATAAATAACTTTAAAAGAAACACCCACAGTAGCCTGCGCCGTCCGCTTGGTGCGGAAGATATTTTTTTTTCTATTGTCTGTTATTAAATGCCTTAAATTTTTATATAACATTCGATAATTTAAAAAAAACATATTAGTGCGACGGGCGGTCTTATCGCTTTCTGCCAACTAGTCTTAATAGCATACATAAAAAAAATAGCCGGATACACAAAAAAAAAATACACATCGAATTGATACCCTTTTTAGGTGGGTATTTTAAAGTCGGTTAATAAAATATAATATCTAGTAAAAGTCAGCCCGTGTGATTTTACCCGCTGCAATATGTTCTCAAACTCAAAATAACTTTATTCATATAGGTAAACAAGTACACTTATGAACGTCAACAGAAAAGATGTTAAATTGATTCTAAATTTACATTTGTTACCAGTTCGCAAGTCAAGGGCGTAGAGCGGGCAAGAAGAACTGGCCAGATACTCTCCGACACTCTTTTAATCGCCAAGTTTTGAGTCATACAATTTGTTTGAACTGGAGCAAATCAATCCCATAGATTAGGATCATTTAAACAGACCGAGGTAAACTCTTTTAATTGCGCGACTAACATCCAAATTTAATTTAATTAGGATTTAAAACGCGACTAATTATCACTGTTGATGTATTATTCTATTTAAAATAAGACTTTGCTTTACGTTTAGACAGGTCTTCAATTTTGTTCTTCAAAGCTTTTGATTTGTGATGTGGAATACATTTGCGAAACTTGAATATGGGAATCGATAAATACTTGAACCCACTCGAGAACTTTGACGACAGAGTAACAAAAAAACCTAAAGTGGAAACAGCTAATTTAGAATGAATAATTGTTGCCATAAATTGTTCGTTATTTAGAGGTCGAAGTCATTAATTAATCTACATCGAAGTCTGGTTAGACAATAGCTTTTACTGGTTTCATCACATCACTTATTTAATAGGATTGTTTTTCAAAATAAAATTTAGACAGACAAAACGATTTGTTTTAGTTAAATTAGCGTTTTCCACACTTAAAAGACAGCAAAATACATAACTGTGAGAGCTGTGGAATCGATTTTCGGTGGGAGTAAATACGACCTTCAATTGTTTAAAGAAAGAATATACTCCTGCCTCAAAGGCCGGCAACGCTCCCACTAAAATGGGGTCCACGGGCTGCGGGTCGTTTGCCTGCCTGACAATTAAAAAAAAAAATAGACGGTGAAAGAAAATATCCTCTACACACTGATCGAATTGAGTATTTAACAGGAGAGCGGAACTATGGTGTCAAAAGTAAAGAGCCCAACGTATCAGGAATAATATAGTAAATCTAGTTTCATAAAATTTTCTCGCATTTCAAGGATGTCTGAAGGGTTTAGAGAGGCGGGACGCGAGACGACGGGCCCCCACTCGCCTATAAATAATAAGAAATATAAATAGGAAATTTCTTAACAAAATATAAGATAAGTTGCCGCACCACAAGAGTCGGGGATATTAACAAATTTATAATATGTCAGAAGTGAAACTTCTTTGTAAATTAATTATTACTATGGCAAAAGCCCCACTATATGATCACTACATGTATTTGTATATCCATATTCACACTCTTTACACACTGTATACGTGCTAAGGATAATATAAACAAATAAAAAATCTGCGTTTACTACACAAGACGTTATGCGACAGAATTGCCATCTAAAGTTATAATATGGAACTACTAAACGAATGCATCAACCAATAGCATGTATTTTTTCTCGATCTCCCTTTCTCACTCTCTCTCAATCGGTCGTAATCGCTCTCTCCCACATCGACAAAAACGCTGCACATCTTCATGACGATTCATCCGTAAAAATTTACCCTCATGCGCCTAAAGAAGTCTCACTTCAAAAAGTGTATTGCAAAACTTATTATTTATGCAAAAAATGGTTGTCTGTAAAGTCGGTTTACGGCCGATAGTTTAACGTGACAACGTCATAACAAAACATTGATGAAATTGCATACTTTTATTTAATAAAATTGAATCATTTTTATTGAATTATCCCTATTCTGTATACGACGGACGCATAGGCCAATCACTAAGTATGGCCCGTAGTTCATACAATAAGTACTTACACTCACCTCTAAAGAGAGTTTTGACATATCAACCGGTGTGATCCGTTTGAGAGCTGACAGCCTCTGCAGCCGCTGCCGAGCCTGCTCCTCAACCGCGATGAGGAAAGCATCCTGGATTATGTTATGGCCGATATCTGATACTGAAACAAAAATAGCAACGATTTAACTTCGTTTTAAATAACACTAACATTGGCTATTTTCTATAATCTACAATATTGGCTAGGATAAGTGTAGGCTAGCCAGGCTTTGGCGTAAGCCAGCCATAATTCTAGACCGATTTTGTCAGTAGTGGCGATTATAAAACGAACACGATGGGGAACACCCAATACCTTCTCACGTGAAACGTCTAAATCAGTGTTTCTCAACGTGGCAACGCACTTGGGAGCCTTCAGCCAATGTGAGCCTCCTGCCTGGAGAGTGTTCAGAGGAGTAGTTCGGTCTAATACCTGCAGCTGAGTTTCATTATCGGACGTCAAGGCGGAATCCAAAATATCACCCGTATCACCTCGACGTCCGTCGTTCCACAACTGAGCGATTTTTAAGGCAGTTTTTGCCGCGCACCACCACTATGTGGAACCAGCTGCCCACTGAAGTATTTCCGAACCAATTCCACTTTCCGAATTCGATTCCTTCAAGAAAAGTGCGTTCCAATTCTTAAAAGACCGGCATAGAACTCGCAAGGTCTCTGGCATTGAGAGTGTCCACGGACGGCGGTATCACTTACCATCAGGTGAGCCTCCTGCCAGTTTGCCCCCTGTTCTATAAATACCCAGGCATACGTTCGTCTTTTGTTTTACATTATTCCTGGCCAGTCTGAACTAAATCCACCAATGTTGTTTCTACTTAAAACTAGTATATGAATCATTTCCAGCTGCGAAAGACGTTACATAACACTAGACTATTATCATTCAGGCTGTGTCAAATTCCTCGATTTGCAATCAAAATTAACTTATTGTAGAATAAACCCTATTTAATTTACAATACACGCACTAATTGAATGGTACTGCAAAAGTATAAAGCAGGCGATAATGATACTTATACCAACTGTATTGTGCTCAAAATTGTATGTAACGCAAGTCGACAATGGGTTTGACGCCTTCGTATGAATACGTAATGATGGTGCGTGGTTTATACCTGAAGCATCTTCAGTTATCTCTATACAACTAAATTTGCAACATAATGTAACGCTATATTTATTTCCATACAATAATATAATAATAATACAGCCCGTTTTATTTCCAATCATAACAATAATTATAATATACAGCTTAGATTATTTTACATTTTTACACATTTTTTTACATGTTATCCTATGACCTAGCTACCTTCAGTACCGTCGAACGGAACCCCTTCACGGGCAAAGGCCTCCTCCAGCTTTTTCCAACTGACTCTGTCTATGGCTCTCTTTCTCCATTCGTTTCCTGCTACCGCTTCTATTTCTTCTATCCACCTTGTTTTTTTTATGCATACAATAATATGCTATTATAAAAATCAAATTAGTGGCACTAATACCTTTATAGGTCTGGGCCTCAGATTTCTATATCTATTTCACTATCATTTGTCATAATAGACAAGTAGGTGATCAGCCTTCTGTGCCTGACACACGCCATCACCGTTCGAGTGAATATTAAATCCGCACATAGAAATAAGTCCATTGGTGCACAGCTGGGAATCGAACCTACGACCTCAGAGATGAGATCCACACACTGAAGCCAATAGGCCAACACTGCTCTAATATGCTACATATATTAACACTTACATATACAGCATCGTTAATTTAAAGTTCTTCAATATAGTACGTTTAATTATTGTTTAGAAATGAAAACTTATTTTGTTTTAAAACATGACGCGAGCACTCTGGCATTGAGAGAGTCCATGGGCGTCGGTATCACTTAACATCAGGTGAGCCCGTTTGCCCCCTGTTCTGTAAAAAAACTCACACACTAGAGTGGGCTACATCTTTTCGTTATTTGACACGTCACCACGTCTTATCATACCATATTCGGCTAAATCTTTAATACGTCTTTGGGACCTTCTCATACAATAAAAGACAGTTATACAGAGAAGTAAATTTTTGCTTCTTAAAGTCAGCGTTTGTAAATCGCTTTGAAGAACTCTTTTGTTTCAGTGCCATTGTTAATCAGATAACAATCGGCTAATCTATTGATTTTCAGAATATTACCCTCATTTAATCTTTAATATTAAGCTTTGTACAACATTCCACAACAAGGTCGTAACTGACATTATAAAAAATTTAATGAAGTTTGACATTTGTGTCTGATTGTGCGGTTTTTTGTAATTCATTTATTTTATGTATCACGTTCAAATAAAGCATTTATTATAATTAAAATAAATTAATTATAATAATAATAATTTAATTTTTTCGGTGTCGAGACTCTTGGTCCGTGGGGTCCTAGCGCTTTAAGGCTTTTTAAAGACATATCAAAAAGGTTAGTCGACATCACAGGAGACCGAAGATCTGGCAGCTACCTCGGACAAAGAATTAGTCTAGCGATTCAAAGGGGGAACGCTGCCAGTATCTTCGGAACCTTGCCTAAAGGGACTCCTTTTAATGATATATTTTAGTTTATGTTAATTTTAGTTATTTATTTTTCAATGTATTATTAAAATTGTATGTTTTATTATAGACAATACAGTTTTCCAAATTTAATCATTTAAAATATACAAATGTACGTATGTAAATATACAGCTGACTGTGTTATGTGTATTAGGTAAATAAAAACACAAGAATACTCCTAATGCGATTTCTTATAACGCGGTCCGGGTTATATAGGAAGGGGATTACTGTACTTGCAACCGAGATATTAATGTTACAAAGTTTAAGATCAGACCTGAATATAGCTTATTATGGATTTAATCTTCACTATACAATAATAACATGTTTTATGGCGAAAGCATGGCATTGTACCATTGTCACTTACATCCACTATCCACTCTGTTAACTTAACTGATGTTATCTGATTTATAATAAACGGAAAATCTACAAAATAAACCCTATTTTCTAGCCAATAGAACATAGATTCCTCTAAAATTTATGTTATTGTCATCACAGCGAGTGGAAAAATGACAGTTATATTTCAGAGAGTAAAGTTTAATTTCGTTTGAAATAAGAGTAATGTTAGCCATTTGGAGTACGTGTAAAACCTGTTATCCACAGTATATTATATGTTTTAGCAAACTGAAGGGGTTAAATTGTTTCGTTACCAAAAATTTAATTTATATACTACATTTATACTATTATACTACAAGGTAAATCAACATTTGATTTGTCGTAATAAGCAACTTCATTATATATGAAAAACAAAGAACAGGACAATAATAAAAATAAAAGTGCGTGCGTACAAAGTACACGTGTCAGAAGTGAATCTTCTTTGGCAAAGTGATTTTTAACTCGTGTTCATATTTATACAAATCTAAACCTTTTGATTTCCGAGACTTAGAGGGAGGGAAAAAGGAAGATATGTTAGGAATTTAATTGTCATTAAAATATTAAGTGTCGAAAATTAATACAAATAATAAATTTACTGTTTTTAATTTAAACCTTCGATGGTATAAAACACGTGGCATTTTAACATAATTTCTATAAAATATAATTAATTAATAAAAATATAATTTCTATAAGGTAATCCGCCCTTCTCACTCTCTTTCAATCGGTCTCAATCGCTCTCTCCCTTTCGACAAAAACGCTGCACATCTTCGTGACGTTCCGTAAATATTTTACCCTCATGCGCCTAATGTTTCACTTCAAAAAGGCGCACCACAATTCAACTTATGCACTTTCAACGTAAGATTCCTATCATCTAAAACAAGACAATTAGATCTGAACAATGCATTGAGAAAAATAAGAGAAAATTTAAAAATATGGAAGAGGCTTTTACCCTAAAAGGGGCTATACAATACTAGACCGCTAAAAAAACTAACTTAATTTCTTACTTATATACCTACTAATCCTCATATTAAGAATTAATGTTAACTAACCTATTTTTGTATGGATTCGTTAATAAAGCTCTTATGATAATAATAAAAAGGTGGAAAGGACCGCCAGGAAAAGGAAAGACAGCTCGCCCTCTTGCACGGTGGGCTGACGGTGGAAGTTGGTGGAGATTGGGAGAAAAAAGCTTGAGATAGAGAGTGATGGAGCCAGTTGGAGGAGGCCTATACTGATCCTTGGAAAAAAACATTATTTATTTATTTATATTTTTTTTTCTGTATCTGTATCTGTGTGTGTATTTTGTAAAGATATTCATCCATCCTCTTCAAGGAAGTCTGTCTGTTTCAAAGAATAAATATGGCTAAGGAGGACAGATTTGGTGTTTTGTAATGGATAAACTCTAAAATTACTAAACTGATTTCAACTCTTTTTCGGCTATTTTGTTGGTACAAGTTACGCTAACTATTGAAAAATGTTACAAAAACAGATAAAAAATGAGGGCTTTTCTTAGTTTATATATTTATATCTTGAATCAGAAAAAAATCTCATTCCTTTTAGTAAAATTGCGATGGCTCAAAGCATGTGAGCAACTGTTTGTTTGTAAACTGTCTCCTACATTCCAAGGAACGGTACACAATTACAAAAAAGTAAAAGGTACGTCTCGTGTCTTGTCTACTTCATATGCGCATGCGACGATCTTCATCCGCCGTACAAACAACAAAGTTTAGAACACCTTCTAGTGGTTGATAGGCAGAAAATCTATGAGCTTCAAACACTTTGACCAGGTTCCTATAAGTACATTACGAGTCGTAGAAAATACCTATAGTAAACCATAGATAATCCTAGAGATAAATAATAACTGAACTAGTATCTACGCCTAAAAGAAACATCATAGTGAAAAAAACTGATTGTAAAATATATATACATACACAGTTATAATAAATCATTCTGAATTATGTATATTGAAGACTACACACACTGTTATGTATGAAACGTTACAACAAATTGTATACATTTTACGCTATAAAAAACAGAAGAAATATTTTTAAAAATCGTTTAATCCCTTGTACTTAGAATGTCATTAAATTTTTCCCAGAATATATACATTTATCTATGGTTAATCCTCGTTACATTTTCACAGACTAAAAATATATATCTGTGACGATTCATTTTGTGACGCGTATGATAAGCGGCTTTTCTGCTTGGGATTATGAGGCGTTATAAATGAGCTGGGGTAGCCTAATGCTTATTTAGAGCGTGGATTATTTCCATCCAAAGTTTAACGAAACTTATAAATTTTACCGAATCGAATCTAATTTATCGCCTATTAGTAGAAGTAATACCACCCGTATCACCTCAACGTCCGTCGTTCCACGAGCGTTTCTTAAGGCAGTTTTTGCCGCGTTTCACCACTATGTGTAACAACCATCTGCCCACTAAAGTGTTTCCGAATCAATTCGACGTGGGGTCCTTCAAGAAAAGAGCGTACCAACTCTTAAAAGTCCGGCAACGCCTTGCGAGCCTTCTGGCAATGTGAGTGCCCATGGGCGGATGTATCACTTAAAATCAGGTGAGCCTCCTACCCGTTTGCCTACGGTGACATGAAAAAAAGTAACATCGGCGTGAAGTTGTGAAGTTGAAGGCCCGAAATCCTACTTACTGATCATTGATTAGACAATACTAAATTAATTGAAATTAATATCAGTAGCAGAATCGTTTTATGCTATGTGTATAGCAGGGAATCAACGTTACATCAAAGATTGACATTTTCTAACTTTACAATGAATTATTGTACGTAGTTGTATTCGCTTCAAATAATTTAATATATATTTATTAAACATGTCTGCGCTTAACAATGAGCCGCCCACGCGAAGGCGGTATGCGGTGAGGTATGAAGACGTCGTGAGGAGAAAGGATGTAACGTTCCATTATTTATAGATTAAAAACGTAAATCCAGAAATATTGTCGACTGTTTTCTAAAAGCTAGCAATACACTCGCGAGTCTGGCACTGCTGCATTAGCAATGTCACTACATAAGATGATTCCCCAGCCTGTTAACCCAGGTTTTATAAAAGAAATGAATTGTCTTCGTTTTAAGTCTGCGATAAATACGAATATGAGCAGATCTCTACCTAGTCTCCTAAATCTTTACGATGGACAATTTTACAATAACATATAGTGAAAACATGAAATTCCCAAGATATGTCTTTTCCAAATTTTAAAAATGTTTATATAATTGAAATTATATATTCAACTCAAGAGTAACCGATGTATTATGTAAGTCCAATTTGCACCAGAACAAATTGAACTAAAATTATTATGAAATCTGTGTTATTTTCGTTTAAATGGTTCAAATAGAAACGCGGAGAAAATTGCTAGCGAATCCATATTCATGCATACATTTTTCCAAGCACAACAATACTCAGAGTCGGTCATTAAGAGTAAGGCTTACTTAAGGCTCAACATGTACCGCTCTTTAATTTATTAAGGTGAATTTAAATAAACCGATTTATAAATACATATATAATACATATTTGTTTAAAAATTACATTATTGAACACAATCATGTATTGGTCTCGTTTCATAGCGATTCTGATTACATGAAATAAACAGGTTTAGCTTTTTAAAAAGCTATAATACTTCATATATCAGAAAAATTTTAAGGTTATTAAACATGAAAACAGCCTAAAAAGTGTTTAATTTTTTTGACACTAATCAAGACAATATTGTGACCAAGTTATAGAACAATTCCAGCTTACACAAATTGCCGATCGCCATTAGTTCAAAATACGTGCTCATTTTCTGTGCACTACATTAATGATACAATAAATTCCAACGCATCAAACAATAGTTGTTGAACCAACTTTTACGTGGTAAATTGCAAACAATGGCTGCTCCGCAATCATGACTGTATGCCAAGTATGATAGTTCAGTAACGCAAACGCTAATTAAACCATTGTTTTAAGTTTAAAACAAGCCCCAATTTCAACAAAAAACATTTCACAGCGATAAATAATAATTATAGGGTAGAAATATCCCATGAAAATGTGCTATGCTATTAATGCTCTATTATCGCCAAATCACGGTGAAGGAATTCCGGAATATTATATAAGTATAATATCTCTTGAATTTAAATTTATTATTGTACGCTGTATTATTGTCATTCGTACGTAGTTTGATGTCTATCTGTCTACTTACTATGTAGTTCTAGTTGATAAAAGGGCCTGGGACTAGTGCTAGGCAGGCTATTTCTAATTAATTTGTGATATTTGTTTTGAAATAAGTGTTGTTTGATGATTTGCTATTTTAAAAGAGTACCGAGCGTTTTTAACGCCGGCTTTTTCTCTCGGCCTACACCCTCTGTCTTTTTTGCCGATGAGTAGAGATGCCTACAGATTCAAATTTAATGATTGAATGAAAATATATCATTACTATTTAAAATATATCATTACTATTTAAAATATATCATTACTATTTAAAATATATCATTACTATTTAATATATATATCATTACTATTTTGACTAGTTATACAAAAGCAGACACGAACCCTGGTTGCTTGAGGGTGTATTCAAGTATTAAATTACGTATTTACAATCGATTTCATATACGTGTGTCGTCAAAAGTGTACGAGCCTCACATACTTCTACGGATGTCAGTAACGGTACAGTGACTATGTTACACTAGAACAAAATTGACCAATTAGTCCGTCGAAATAAACCTAACTGTAAAGCTCAATTTCACGTTCTAGACTAGGATTTTAATATTATACGCATCACGTTATCTCAAGACGTGCTTACATACGTTTGAATCAGTGACGAAACATACCTAATTGACAATGACACGTGAACTGTAGGCTTGATAAGACACTTTAGCTACGGTAGTTTTTAGTTTTACGCGTTTTTTTAAACAACACCACTATTACTATACTAAATTATACTATATTAAAAAGCTACGTAACCTTAATAGATCATTTAGGTACGGTAAGGTAAGCTAGGAGCAAGGATTCTTCGTACATCCTTCTTGTTTTACTAGCTAAATAACTTGATGTTTAAAGCCAGTTAAACGTGTTTAAATATAAAGCTTATTATATTGTGACGTCTGTCTGTTCTGTGTTGAAACATCCTACCTATTCAAAATAAGCTACAGTTTTCCTAATCTATATAATATCCAATTAATAAGTCATTTGTGAAACAATCTAGTAATGAACTAGCACTTTCAAGTTAGTAACAGATACCTACTTATAATTCAATTAAGTGAAAGTCCCATTAACCTTATGACCACATCATCAGTGTTACACGGAAGTTATGAATTTCACTTTAACTTTGAGTTTTTAGTTGCGTTTTCTGGTTAAAATTACAGTTAAGGCTTAAGAAATTGCAGCAGTTAAGGCCAAAGGCGCGAGGTCACTCACCTTAAGAAACTGGTCACAAAAGCATCACAGAACTAACACATTTTAGTATAATCACATTCACATCCAACGTATGGTTTTTGTCAAAACATGAGTAATTGTTTTTCAATAATATTGTTCACTTGAAACACCGGTAAATACTAAATAGCCGAGCGACGATGACTCGACCGTCGACAAATTTTCTATCTCTGTCTCACCATGGACTGCTATATAATGTGCTGCCATATTCAAAAGTAATATCCACTCAAATTGTTTAAATAAATAAAGTTACAACTAAGAAATTACAATATTTAAAAGTATTGTAATTTAAGGGTAAAAACGAGATTTTTTTTTTGTATGTCCATTTGACTTGTTCCAACACAATCAAAAATATATTTAGTCATAGCGAGTAATACTAAACTAAAAAGTGTAAAATTTCTAGTTAGATTATTAGAATTACTTGTTCAGTTTAATTTTCTGCCAGGAATCTTATCCGAATGTTATGTGCCTTCCACTTCCAGTAATATAAATTTACGTTCAAAATTAGATCACAAAGTCACATCTTTACATCCACAATTAAAACAAATTTGTTAATTAAATATAATTTTCATCATGATTTAAAACTTTCTCAAATAGAGCTGAATACACGGAAGTGGCAACACTGCTTGTAACCTCAAAGGCTGTGTCCAGCGAAAATGGAGAACATGTTTACTTAATTTGAAATGGTTCTAACTTTGGTGTAGTCTAGCAAGCAGAAGAACTTTATTTAATTAAATTCTTTATGTTGTTTTAAATGTTCAGCTACATTACCTAAGTCATTCACTGTCATTGCAATATAAGTCTTATACCTTTAAAATAAAATCTATTTTAGCCTTATGCGATGATTAATATTTCAGCAGCATTGTATAGAAGCCATGCCTTTAATCACATTATTGGAAAGAGTTCTACAATTGTATTAACGATGATTGAATATGACTCATAATATATTGATGAGGTGTTTTAAATTTTTTATAATACACCTATTAGTAATTTATAAAGGATTCTAATTTATTTAAGTACCTGGATAACTAACAAACTTTAGCACATATCGGTTTTGTTTATAGAGCTTCATCTACACGGCATTATAAATATATGAGATGAATGTATTTAATTTAAAAACAAGGAACACAACAATTATAATTATTAAGTATTTATGTAGAAATAACAAATATGATACGTTACGTTCCAACGCGATTTAAATCGTAAAAAATTGCGCCTGTCAAGAGTTTTAACTGATGCCTTTTATCATTGCTAACAAAAAAAACAGGCGCAACATTTCCTGCAATTGGAAGATCGATTATTATTTAGCTGTGTATAGGCCACTTTTTGCAATTATCTATTTATATATCTTATATTTGAGTCACATTCCTATGTTGGTATTACTTCTTTATTTAATAATTTATTATTGTGCTTAAATAACAAGGTTTTTAAGAACAACTTACAACTAAATATTAATAAATACTTACACAATTTCGTTTCACTCCTCCTCTTAACTCGTAGTTTGATAACACATGATGATATACACTGTAACAAAATATTAAATTTAAACAAAATGAAAATAATAATTACGACATTGCATACAGGAGGAAATGTATTAAATTTATGACATTTCCAGTAGAGAACACGATTTAATGACTGTTTCTGTGTCCTTCACACTCAAACACATTTTCGTCTCACAGATAGGAACAGAACAACGTATACAAAAATACAAATACCAAAAGCCTCCGTTTACTTTAGACGAAATTGTGTAAATATAAAATATATACTTTTAATGCAAATAAAGATTTAAAAACTCCTCAAAATTAGCTGGTTCACATAAAATAATACTTTCAAATACATATATTATCTTCCGCGCTTCAACATATTGCTCCGGGGAACTAAGTCGTAAAGCATTATTACGACTGTTTTAATGTTTTATCATTTTTGACTTCCTTGGGTGATGTTCTGTACTTTATTTCAGAACTTTTACAAAACATTTGACTATAAAATCACGAAGATGTCTTTATCTATCTCTATCTTATAGGAAATTATTTGTGAACTATGTTAGTAATACTCGTTTACCTAATGTTACCTCCCTGAAATAGATCGCAACAACAATAAAGATAGTTTTAGTTTAGATTGTAATTTTACCAAATAATCATAAAAACTTAATAGTTTAAAAACGAATAAATAGTGATTTTAAACGTAATAATCTATTACTTATTACAGTTATTACGTTTAAAATCAAAATCTGTGTGTGCGGTTACTGTGTCGTCCGTAATTATGTAATAGTAAAACAATCGTAAAAGCTTTTGCTCTTCAGTCTAATGAGATGACTTACCTACTGTAATATACATTTAGTTATTTTTTAAGTAAATAACAACAATGTTTAGATCGTTGAACAAAAAAATATAAGCTTTCACTTGATATGTAGGTATAGTTGTATATGTGTAGTTAGTATCCTAGCATTACCTTCTTTTATTTTTCCTGAACAAAATAGATTTTGCTTTTACGACTTTGTTCCCCAGGGCAAGCGATGTGTTTAATTATATGACAGTATCTCTTAGTAATTATATTTGATACAATACAATATCCTGATTCAATGAAGATAATCAACCGAGACTTGTGGCTCTTGAATTATTTGGAGAGGAGCCAGTTCTTAATGTCTCTTTAGTGGCTATATCAAGAAATAAGGGATACAGTTATACCCATGATCTTCAGCGAAATATATTATTATAATATGATGTAAACCGCTATGCTTACAATAAGATAGGGATAAACAAACTTTCTTTTACTCCGGAGATGTATTTTGACCGATGAAATACATAGTCACTTATAAGCGATAATGGCGCCCTAAGTCTCGTAAGTAATATGAATAATTTAACTTCATTTAGGTATTCTATTTGGTAGGTATTAGGTATTTGGCCAGATAACCTGGACAAACTGGTTGTCGTCGGCAAGGTGGAAGGCAAAAGGCCGCGAGGATCGCTAACCCGCTGGTGTGATCAAGTCACGATTCTCACAGGTCTTCTAATCCGCTGAGCTAAGGGAAGCTACAAACCGAACAAAGTGGAGAGGTATCACTAGCAGGGGAGCAGGAACCTTACAGTGACACGACCTTCAGCAATGAGGAAGACGTTTTTAGAATCTTAGGATGCTTGATTTTTATATAATTATTAAGGATGGTTAAAATGGATATATATACCTCATGTATGTGACTCAAAACTTCCGTGCGAGACATGTCTTCCAGCCTGGTTTCGTTGACGTCCATTATTTCGTCAGCCAGCTCCAAGTTGTCGAAGTTTCCCGCTGATGGTGACCCTATACAGAAAACTGTATTAAAAATTGGAGATGCTGTAGGTGGATGTAGAGCTGGGCGATCTACACCAGATAAAAAAGGGCCTTAAAAGGTTAGGTGGAAATAGAAACACAAAATTGAGGCAGTGTTGGTTGTAAAAGTTACCAAAGACCTTTAATGTCAAGAAAGAGCCATAGTAACATATCATACAGCTTCCAAACAAATAAGATAATTAAATAGAGTATGGTCATGCTGAAGGTGGCTAAATATTTAAATATAACATTATGCTGATTTATGTAAATAAAACTAAATATACTTGCTAAGCCGTCCTAGGGAATAATTAGATATTATTTATTATCTTATTATATCACATTGTAAAAATTAATATGACATTTGCATGCCTGTTTATATGTGGCTGATTGTGCGGATTTATGTAGTTGATCAATCTAATTGTACCACTATCTTGGAAAATAAATGATTTATTATTATTTCGTAATCCAACAGCTAACATAAATTGTATTAAAGAAAAACTAAAGGTATAGCCAAAACTGGAGTAGTACGTATACTTAAAAAGGTTCAAACATTTACATAAAAAAAAAAAAATCGGCTATGTTGTGTCATGGTGTGAAAGTGTAGTATAAAACTAATTAATCGTATAATTAATAGCAAAAATCAAACTAAGTTGCTTGGTTTGTGCTTCTCACGTTCTTGAGCGTGTAAAAACATTGTTTTACGTAAAAAAAAACTAAAATATATTAACAATTAGAACGATGACACTATATAAATTAACAAACTAGCCTGTAGGGGATAGTAAATACGACGATAGACGCTATTGAAGCACCTTTATCCGAAAGTAACATTATCCAGCAGAATATAGACTTCGGTAATCATCATAATTTTTCTTCTGTGATTTACATTACAGTTATCATCACTTCGGCATATTCAAGAACGTGGTCTTAGAAGACAATTTATTAACTTAGTATACTTCTTGCCAGGTTCAAAAATACCGTAATTTATTATGATAATAAATAGGAGATCGTTACAAATATAATCATGCATATATTGAATGAAAATTTAAATAATTATTAAAAGTACTTTACGTCAAAATTAAATTAAACCTAAGATATACCTACATTGTCTTATGGTAGAAATAATTTAGATATATGCATATACTAGCCGTGTCGCGCCCGCTTTGCTGGACGAATTAAAATAAATTTTATGTTTCATTATTTTATTTTTTTTCATATTTTTATTATTCTTCTTTTTAACTTTCCGCTAAGAAAATTGAAATATTTCGAAAATCGAGTTTTTAACAGATGTTGACGTTTAGAGGTTCTAGGAAGCCTCCCCGAATGTTTCCGCGGTGAAGTCCGTATGGATAAATTTTCATAAAAGTAAAACAGCAATAAAAAAAGCCATAAACCATCTAGGAAAAATTTCGCATCGAATGGTGGTAGTTTCATGTCGATACGATCAGTGGTTTAGGCGTGAAGGAGCCTCAAACGAAGACCATTTTTCTTTTATATATATAATGAATAAAATAGATATATACTGATCAAAATAGACTTACCATATAATTTTATTTTATTATCCTTAGTTTGAACAACAATAATAACATATCCTTCTAAATCCACGGATTTGCATTTCACTGTTGTTACTTTATCAATCGCATTTATTTGCGTTGTAGGTGCATTGAATGTGTTCATCTTGCTTATTTTTATATTAACGTTAAAATAAAAAATCGTTTTAAATTAATCGTTTTTTTCTAACCCGTACCAACGTTTCTCCCAGCACCATTTCAAGTATTTCGAACCATTTGATACGTTCATAGTACATTTTAATTTTCAACCAGGCGGTAATTCAGCCATTATTATAATTATTTAGTTACATTTCACATAACAAACACAATAATATCATGGCGATATATACGCGGCACTTTGTGTTAATCTAAAATAATTTAAATTAATCTGTGAATTCAGTTATTTTTATTATGGGCGATGTATTGTCGAATTTTCTCTCATTTTGCAATTTGCGGCGGTTCTCACTTGTTTTTTGCTTATTTTGTGTCGTTATTTGTGTATTTTTCGCGATATTTCGGACGGGGACGTAAAAGCGCGATTTTGTATTGTCAAATTGTTATTTTTCATGTATTTAAGCGTGTTTTTGAGGTTTAGAAGCGGTCCCACGTCTCGCTGGCAGGGTGTAAGCCGCGAATGGATACATCTATCCCACTTTCGCGCGATCAATAATGCTCCCTACCCAGCATCCCTACATTCACAACACTGACGTTGCAAATAAAATAATATTCTTATAATAATATAAGCGTTCCTGAATATATTCAGCTTAGGAGGACAAAATATTAACTTTTCACATATAATATCAAAAATGTAAAACGAACTCCTAGGTCCCACCGAGATTTGAACTCGGATCGCTGGATTCAAAGTCCAGAGTGCTCACCATTACACCATGGGACCTGATATGCTTAGAGGAGAAACAACTAATTGTTTAAAATACTTTCGTATCCTTTATGCAATATTTTAAGGTATAACAAACAAACAGTTATAAAAACAATCACCGAAAATAAATTTGTAGGAGCCAAGGTAAAAAAACTTACTTTCTTTGCAGGCGGAAATATTTAATTAGAAGGGTAGATATGAAGGATGCTGCATAGTTTTTATGTATATAATTATATTTAATCACTAAAATATACCATAAGGATTCAAATCAAGTTAAGATAATTACAACTAGTTGCTGCAAGTATTATAAATAAAAAAAATCTTTATTATAGCTTTACGTCGCTTGGCTCGATAAGTATAACTAAAACGCAAGTACAGGTAAACAACAAACCGTTCCTCAGAAACTTCCTTTTATGGTTTTTTCTAGTTAATAATCTAAATAAAATAATGCATAACAAGGAAAAAATAATAAACAATAATAGTTTGTAAATGTGTGGTTGTGCCATCTATTGCTGAATAGGTATAACAACTAACAGAAAGAGTTCGTATTTGACACAGAACTTCTTATTATAGACTCGAAGTTCAAATCAGAGACAAGTAATAAAATTATAATTTTAGATGTTATGTTAGTTACAAATAATAGGGCACGTAAAACTATTTTGTATTTTAAAAAAACTTATGAAATAATAATTATCATTCAGGTAAAAAGTTTCTGTTTCTTGCCACCACCAAAAATATGTTAGAGCGACAGTTCACAAATAAACCATATGGTAACATTATCTATGACAGTTTGTTACTGACTTCGCTGTAGTAAGGTTGTCATTTCGTCCATCTATTCAATAACGTGATAGATGAATGAGAAATAATCACCATTATTGCAGCGAAGCCAACACAAGTCTCCCTTCCGAAACGATTGCCGGGGCGCTATTTATCGAACGTGTCTGACCGTGGTGAACTCTTTTAAACACCGCCATCGCCATGATCGATGTGGAAAACAAAGATGGCGGAATAATACGGTGATCATAACCAAACGCTCTGAATTTTTGTAGTTATGTACATTAGTGGGCGGAGGTGGCAGCGGTGTCGTGGTGTCTGAGAGTGGGGGAGCTCCATGGTCCGGCCGGGGTGATGCCGCCGCGGCCAGCGGCTATGGCGGCTGAGGAAAACCGTCCCCCACTCGCTCTGTTTACCGCCGTCTACGACTACGTAGCGCAGGGGGAAGACGAGCTCTCCCTTCGCCGGGGGGAGATCGTCGAGGTCCTGTCTAAAGATGCGAACATATCGGGTGACGAGGGTTGGTGGACGGGAAAGATTGGGGACCGTGTGGGAATATTTCCCGCGGTATACGTGACAGAAGAAGACCCGCTGGCCGTCACGTCTGTCATAGGAGATGTGGACCCCCCTCGAGTGTCGTTCTCTGAGCTTAAACTCGAGGAGGTGATCGGCGTCGGCGGTTTTGGTAAAGTGTACCGTGGTTATTGGAATGACGAAGTGGTAGCGGTAAAGGCCGCACGCCAGGACGCAAATGAGGACATTGAAGTTATCAAAGACAGTGTGCTGCAAGAAGCAAAGCTGTTTTGGATGTTGCAGCATGAAAATATAGTGTCGTTAAAAGGTGTTTGTTTGGAAGAGCCTAATTTGTGTTTGGTGATGGAGTATGCTCGTGGTGGCCCACTTAATAGGGTGCTATCTGGGAGAAAGATACGACCTGGGATTCTCGTCGACTGGGCTATTCAAGTCGCTCGCGGTATGGCGTATCTCCACGTTGATGCGCCTATTTCTCTTATTCATCGAGACTTGAAGAGTTCAAATGGTGAGTAATAGAGAAGTAAGCTCATCTTTTTTGAATACCTAGATAAAGTTGCGCTATTTGTAAACCACCAGAAATAGGGGAGAACTATTATAAGTTATTCTGTCAGTCAATAATTTATACACAACTTTCACATTTAAGGTTAAATACTTGTGGACTTTGACCTTTAAAATTTATATCATGCAAGCCTAGCTTATAACCATACTGAAGCCTCACTCTATGTTGTCTTCTTTTTGCTAAATTTTAATATATAATAATATAATATTGTTAAGAATAAATGCAAGTGAATGCTAATTTTAAAAAAATATATGGTTTGAAATTATACTATGGATTTCCATTATATTCTGCCTATATGGTTCTGATTCATATTCACTTCTTTATGAGACAATCTGAGGCCCATATTCTACAATATCAATCAAACTTAAATCTGTTTAAAGCTATCAATGTAATTCTTCTATATGAGGTTTGACGTTTGACTGTGCTCTAAATCAGATTAAGACTTGAGATAACAATTAGAATTTAGAAAACTAAACCTGAACCCATTGGTAAAAGTCATTGCTCTGACTGTAAATGTAATGTTTCAAACATTTTTAACAATTACAAAGTGCAATCACCTTACTTCCTTTTTAACAATAGATTATTATTTGCTTTAAGGTTGACAACCTGATTCATCCTTCTACCTAAAGGTTATACTCTACTTACTGTTATCACAGAGGAAATTACTCATTTTTGATAAGCCAGATTTCAATGTCATCTATTTTAATATTGTTGCTATATAATAACCATCTTTCAAAGGTCTAATGAAACAATATTTAAAAAAAGTTGTGGAATACAATGTGTTTTAAATGCCATTTCAAATATAATATGTTGGTTTATCTGTAAATAAATTAAAAACCAAAATTAGCCTTTAACACCAACCAAAGCTTGGTGTGGTTTGTTTGCTTGGCTGCTCGACCAAGTTTTTTTAATAGAATAGTTATTACTTATTGTATTGATTATTTTTATATTTAGTAGATAACTTCTCCCCTGATATCGATGTTACAAAGACGTAACAACTAAAAGTCTAAATATAGCAATAGTTAATCTGGTTGTAGAAACTATAAAAAGTCTGTTTAGTATTGGCACATTGGGGTATACATATGAACAGTATTTTGCCTTCTATTACTCGATAATTAGTATAGTTTACTGCAGATTTATAAAATATAAACACTGTTTTTACAATTTTTAAATTAATTGGATAGGAAGAACTTCTAGGTACAGGAACATTGTACTTTCTCACAGTGGTTGTCTGGAAGGCCGCCAGTTGCCTTTCCTTTACATGTAATTATGTTAAAAAAATTTATTATAATGCAACAAAGTGTAAATAAATAAAAAAATAAAATAAACATTCTCAAACCTTTCATATTCTTAATAATGCCTTGAATATTATTGTAAATTTAATTTAATATTATAGCAGCATACTGCAGATTTTTCGGAAAACAGTATAAGAAACATCCTAAATATTGTTTTAGAACAGCAATGCAAATATTTTTATAGCTTCTTAAATATGAGGTCAAGATTACAGACACATTACTAAATTTTAAATTTGATTGATATAATATTTTGTATGTGGGTGCTACATTGTAAAGTTGAGTGGGCTGAACAATATGAGTATGTTGCATAAGGGCCTGTGACATTGCAAATATGCCTTGTTAACTGACTTATGAATGGCCTTTGTAAAAGAAAAGTTTAATGTATCTTTGTTACACCTCAGCACAGAAAACAGGCTGTTTCGAGACATTTAGATTTATATAATATTCAAGACTGTTGAAATCTAATGTGACAGTTTGTATCTTTGATTCTTAATAAGTCAAGATAAAAAGAAGGCAGTTGGTCCAATTCTAAAAAACAACCATACCAAATATTTTTCTTAGTTGTTTGTTATGTTTGCTAAGATACAAAAGTGATATCACACTAACAATTATTGGTATAATATGTTATGTTAATATGTTTTCAACCACATAATTTATTACTACTCTGTGCCTTCGAGGCTTATTTAAGCACATAAATGTTGCAAATCATTATCACAAACACTACTTTAAAGATGTATTAAGTGTTAAAAACTTTCTAGTGAAACCGGCATGTCTGGACAAAAGCAAAACTTGCCAACATGTTTTTGCCGGGAACGCACTTGCAAGCCTTCTGGCAATGTGAGTGTCAATGGGCAGCATTATCACTTCACATCAGGTGAGCCTCCTGCTTGTTTGCCTCCTATTACATAAAAAATACAAAAAGGGACAGCAGGCTACAATGTGAGAAAATTAAAATAAGCATTAAAAAACTACTTAAATATTAAACAGTATACTATTATTTCCAATGAACTCGAATATGTTTTCGCGCCCTATTGCGCGATCGTCCCTATAGCCCCCCAGCAGTTCTGATCCAATCAGCTGAAAGCTTCCGGTCTCCCCTTTCTTACAGATTACACCATTACTTTGATGTTTTCACAGCTTGATGTAGTTAAATCTATATTTAATTTACATTAGCTGCTATTTCTATTTCTTCCTTGGCACAATAAACTCTGATTATTTAATAATAATACTCTGTTGCAAATTTGCCACTTTTAGTTATTTAATAGACATTACTATAGTCATCAGTTATTAAAGTAAGACTAAAGTTAAGACTTAGCACTCTTGTATTATTAAAAAAAAACTATTATGTTTTTGACATACTTTATTTTCTAAATTGCTTCTCAATTAATATTTATTACATGTACATACATGGTTTATTCTTTGCATAATATATATATTATAACAAAATGAGAGATGTATAAAATGAGACATTAGTTACTATCACCTATTTCCAAGTACAATAACAAAAAACTAGCTAGTGTGCTAGTGTGTTCAATGAAAAAATTTTGTTGCCCAAACATAGCAGTTAAATAAATTATATGTAAATTATCATGTTGAAGCAACCTTTTTGTAACATGTTATTAATGTTTTTGCAAATGACCCTCTGCCTCAATAAGTAATAAAAATTCTTATGAAATGATTTAAGTGTTCTGAAAAATGTTCTCTTAAAGCAGAATATTTTAAAAATGCTTTTACTTGTCTCTTTGAACTTAACTTTATCACCAGTTTGCTATGTATGGAGTGAAAGCATTAAATGTAATTTAAATATTGCAACTGACATAAATTTAAGCAAATAAATTGTTTGTACACTTTATAGTTTATATGTAAGTTATTAAATTTATCTCAATTTCTTATTAGCTTGAATAGTATGTACTTAAAAATTCTTATAAGCTCTGAACCTTTTAAAAATAATATTTTTTATCTTTGTCTTTTAACTGTTAATGTTTGTATAATTAGAATATGTATATGTAGACTAGATTTATATTCAGAAGCAGATAATTTGATTGATGGCAAGACAATATATGTACCTAGTTAAAAGATTTATTTTGCATGGCAACACCAAAATGCATCGTTTATTATTCCTAAACATGCGATTAGTTGACCTATTCGTTAGGTATTGCGAATAACACGCTATGGTCACGTAATGAATGTAGGGAATGCGCAACGTGACATAACCGCCCTACACAGCTGGCGTTAATGACATGCCGCGAAATTCAGGTATTATATGATCAGGGGTAGATAACACCTGAACTAGAAAATATTAGTTTGACTGAAAATTAATTGAATCTTACTTTGTTATGAACTAAAGTACTTTGTTAACAACTAGAAATTAATTAAAGAATTTGCTTTGATTTAGAATTGCTTTGTCTTTGTTTTACTTTTGTTGGCTATATCTAAATATCATAAATTTTTTCAATATAAAAAAAACTAAAAACTAGGAACGCTATCGCACTGAGAATTAAATCGACTCTAAAGTTATACTTAAATTTTTAAAGTGCTACAAACGTATGTGCTGCAAAACATTTCAGTCTTGTGGTGTAGGCTTGGAACCTCTGTCAGCGGCTCAAGTTATTTGACTAAATTAAAGTCAATGTGCATGTGCATTGCCATTTTTGGTCGAAGCGACTTTAGTCTCGGATGATTGCACGTGGAGGATGATATGTAATTTATTATGATTTATTTGGAGTTTTTAAGTATAATTATGGCTTTAAACTTTAGTATATAAAAACGTGTTGGAAATTAAATTGTATGCAATTTATTCATGTTCGAAAAGCCAAAATTGTGTACGGTTCATTTCTTAAAAATGCACTTATTATTGTGTGAGGAATGCGTAAGCGTGTTACAAAAATTTTCTGTTAATAACACTATATTTTAGTAATACGATTTTAATATAGGTTATTAAACTATCGTGTACGTTATTTAACTATCATATAAGATGCATTTAACATAGTTCTTAATTAATGAGCAAAGGCACAGTTCTCAATAATTAGTCAGTAAAAAACTAAGCGTAAATGGTTTAACACGTAATGTCGTTAAGTTTTTCCCCACATTGCGTTATCAAAGCCTGTTCGAGATTTTGCGGTAATTTTCCTAATGAGCACCAACGCACCTTAGCGACACATTAACCGAGTGACCCGTTAATGGGGCCTGGGACTATGGTAAATGTCAAAAGTTCTATGCATGCATTTGTTTATGAAAATACCTTTTACATAAACAATTTGTGAGCAATAGTATATGTATAGTCGATTTAGTATTTAATAATGTAAGGGCTACATCACGGAATAGATAAATAGGGGTGAAAGGGTAACATAGCGTCCGTAAATACTCTTACCTCTACAGTGTGAGACTTTTTATATGTTAAGAAAATGGTAGGTCAATCAGGATGACACTGGTTCATGTACAAAGTTGAACCAAAGATACTTCCAACCTTTTTTTATCTATTCTGTAGCAAGAGCAGACCAGTAGCATTTTTAGGAACAGATGGAACAGATGCCTCAAAAAGTCGAATATAGTGAGGACTGATGTTTTTTCTAATATACCACAAAGAACAATCAGCTGTTGTACGAACGTTTATAATATAAAAACCACATTTCGCAAGGGTAGATATAGCTTGCAGCGGT